TTCGGAAAAAAATTCTGTTCAGAACCGGCGGTAAGTTCCAAACAGGCGAGATTGCTTTTTATGTTTAACTAGGTGTTCAGTATAAACCCAACTGAAATACGAGTCTTGTACATTTTAAATATTTTATTTAATTAAGAAGTAAAAATCAATATTACAATAAATTAATACCAGAACAACGAACATTAGGTGCATGCAATTACCTAAACACATAAACCTTGATTTCTCATTAATTTTCTATAATAAATTACTGATGACAGTTTTATGATTATTAGAGGGATGCCGCCAACTCTTTATCTTTCGCGATGGACTGAACGCATCGGGATTTTCGCTTAATTGATATTAATTGTTCTCGCGAGTCGTCTGGCGTTAATTGATCAATTTAACAGTTCTTCGTGTCTACGTATTTTTAATTACCGACGCACGGTCATTCGGTTCGTCACACTGGAAAGATATTGATGCAGACATCCACGATTTTGTTCGTAAATGTGCAAATTGTGCTGAAGCATCGAAATCATCACCGAAAATTCCTTTTTCATCCTGGTCTGCTCCACAGGGACCATGGCAACGAATTCACATGGATTTTGTCGGACCGCTGAATGGGGAATATTTCTTCATTGTTGTAGATGCCTACTCAAAGTGGCCTGAAGTAGTCGACACCAAAAATATAACAAGTTCATCTACAGTCCGAACTCTGGAAGAAATTTTTGCAAGGTTTGGAAACCCTCTTACACTTGTTTCTGATAATAATGGAACCCAATTCTGCAGCGAACAATTTAAAGAATTCTGCAGTAAAAATGGCATCGAACATATCAAAACAGCACCATATTTTCCACAATCGAACGGACAGGCTGAATGATTCGTAGATACATTCAAGAGAGCTCTGAAAAAAATCAAAAGGGAAGGACAACCTTTAGGTCAGTCAATTTTTATCAACATATCGAACAACTCCAAATCGTCACACATCAAGCAGAAAATCGCCAGCTGAAACACTTATGGGTAGAAAAGTTAGAACCATCTTTGATCTTTTACTACCGTCACAGAAACAAGACTTGCAGAATATAGATGGAGACCATTATCCCAAACTGAAAGTTGGAGACACCATCTATTGTAAGATTTATCACAATAATGTGTTTGAATGGAAACCTGGAAAAATTACAAGCAACATTGGAAAAGTGATGTACGAAGTATTACTAGAGAACCCTCATAAACTAGTAAGAATGCACGTCAATCAGATTAAAAAAAGATACAGCAAGGGTGCTGAAAATCAAGGTCATCATTTACCTCTTGACATTTTGATGGATTCTTTTAATATCAAGATGGAACCGAAAGTTACCTCAAATGAAGAAAATCAAAGGCGCCTTCAGGAGATTGACGAGACCAATCCTCAACAGGAAGCAGAGATGAATTCTCAATCTAAACCTAGCCGTGTCAGGAGACTTCCAAAATACTTGGAAGATTTCCAATTAAACAAGGGAGGTGTTGGCAGCCCTGAAAACTAACAAATTGTTTTCAGATCAGAGGAGACTGAAGATGACATATTTTGTTGTTAGTTACAAAAAGTCAGTTGTTTTATGGGAATTTAATAAAGTTGTCAAAGTTATTGAGCTCCCAGAGTTTCACTATATTTTCACGAATATAAAACCCATCCTAATTTGGATCTAGACAATATGGGATTTTTTCCTCCTTCATGGACTTCTCTGACTATTATTAAACTGATATTGTCCTGGCCAATTAATGGACCGATTAATTCAACAGGGGCAATCTTTAACAGTATTTCAGCCTCCTGGGAATGGTTGACATGATGATTTCCACATTTTTTCTTACTTCGGCAAAATTTTGTGAGATGTGACGATCCAAGACAATTGAAACACACTTTATTTTCTCTTGCCCACTCCCAACGTTTTTCAATATCAAGTTTCTTGAAAAATTTGCATGTTTCAACTTTATGACATCTTTTTTGCAATATTTACATTTATGAACTATTTTTTCTTGTTGACTGGTAGTAAAAACGTACTCCTTTTTTCTGTCCTGTTCTAGTCCTGTTCCTGTTCTTCACTAGTTTCACTCAGCCATATGGCAAATGGTAACTGAATTGTTACATTTTTTCAATTGTAAAACTTTTCTACCCCATTCCATACGCAAATTGGGGCTAAGTTTTTTTAACAATATCATTAAAGAGTTGTGGATTAGACAAGTAATCGTAGCAGTCCAAACTGTTAATAGTAACAGCCAATTTTTTTTTTATTTGAGAAGTCCAAAATGGTGTTAAGCTTGTCTTCCTTTTTGTCAGGAATTTTTTTTACAGAATCAATCAAATTTTGAATGATGATGTCAGGTCTGCCATATCTTCTCTCAAGAGTATCGATAATTTTGTCTACTTTTTGAGTGAAAATCAGTAACGCATTTACGCATTCTTTTGCTTTGCCTTTTATGCACTTTTGTAATGAAGAGTTTTGCAGTGAAACACGGCATTTTAGTTCGTGGAATACTTTATTTTAGCTTAATGTAAAATCAAATATAACTAGCCAGACAACATGGAATCGCCAGCTGTCAACTTCAACCGGAGTGTCTACACACCCGTCTTGACGTACAACTACTATTAATGATCGAAATCTCTGGATTGTATTTTAACATGTAAACGCACAATGTGCGTTTACAAAAGTTTCTCGTCGTTTCTCGTAATTGATGAATAAAATTCATCCATTCTCCGGACTCACCGGAAAATACTGGAAGTTCTTTACTGAATGATTGTCTAGCCATAAACTGATACATTTTATGTTCTTCCGACATATTTCCCTGAATATTTGCCTTGGTGGATTCTCGTTCCTGTTTATTATTAACATTTTGGGAAATATCTTCATTTTCGTCTAGAGAATTTACCTAGTTTTGAATGAAGGATGATTTATGCGTCGCCGTTTTTTCTTCTTTAAATGAAAACTCGCTAGAATTTAGACTGTACAATTGTGCTATTTTCATTTCTGCTTCTCGTTCAATCAGCCTTTTTTCAATTTCTGCCAATCTTTTTTCCTTCTCGAATTCGATTTCCAACTGCATTCTTTTCCTAGATTGACTACTCGAAACTTTGGTCGTTTTATGCGTTTTTGATGAACTTTGGCAAAGGCTTCCATTCATTAGCCTTTGGGTTTTTGAGAAACTTCATCTTCATTCATCGCTGCCTGTTTGCATTTTCCCAAGTCTTGAGTGACATCGACATATCTTGCAGGTGGCATTCCTTTCGTTTTTCTTTCACTTTTTTTCAGGGGTAAGGATTTACTTTCCGCCATCTTCCACAGGGAGATTCTTTGATGGATCGAAGGACCACTTATGTTTCTGACTCCGGTTAGTTTTGGTTTTGAAATTGTCTTTGGTTTCAATAGTTTTTTTAATGAAAATACTATGAATGACAAGACGTGGTTTTTATGTTTGACAAGTATTCAAATTCTCTTTATTTTTGCCAACTATTCAAAAAATCTCTAATAAATAATTAGTACATGAGCAAAATAAATAAAATAAACATTTCAGATAAAGTTTGGAAAGAGTTCAGCTCCTACAGCATTTCTCAACTCGAAAATTTTAGACCAATATTCATCTGCTTCTACAGGAAGGTTTAAAATATCATGCTCCAATAGGGCATGATTTCGCCATTCATTGTGGAAGGTTTGAGAATCTACAAACTGATTTAAAATTGGAAATATACTAAGGACTTTTCTTCAAAAGATTGGGCTTTCAATGGTTCTACAATGGATATAATATCAAAAATAGGATCTTTAAAATCGAATCTATCTTTTATGTTTGTAACTAGCTCTATGTAAAATTCCAAGCAAGTTTTGAAAAAAAAATCTTAATCTTTTTGTGACACATTGGGGTCAAATTTAAAAAACTGGAATGTTTCTGAAGCTGATACTAGAAGGTATATTTTATCTAATTTCACGAATTTTCTAGGATTATTATGGTCTATGGAAAAAATACCTCTTCTATTTCCATATAATTACAACAAAGTGTTTTTGAAAGTCTCTGTTTCAGATTTAATTTTATGAAGAAGTGATTTTTCTGACTGGAATAACAAATTAAATTCAGTCAATAACCCCAGAGTATAACTCATAAACTCCAAATATAGATATGTACAAATTTTATTCATTGTATTGAGCATTTGTTCTGTTGTTGCTGAAGGATCTTCAAATATGCTTTCAAAACATCAAATTGTTCAAGTACCCTATCCACGCACTGTTTCAAGGAAAGCCAACGTGATATGGCAGGTGAAAGAGTTTTATGAATTTCGATTTTAAAAAACTGTTGAAAATCTCGAAACTTAACTTGTATCGATGAGCTACGACTGAAATGAGATCTGAGGTTTCGAAGCAGATCTTCCACAGAGTGGAGCAATTTGAGGCAAGCCTTTGAGGCAGCTAAATGGGCCATATGGCAAGAACATTTATCACAGACAATATGAGGATTTTCGTTCTTCAATAGTGAAAACACCAAATTAAATTTACCTGCCATAACATTAGTCGTATCTGATGAAAAAGCAATCAGATTGGATATTGGAATATCTTTATTAATTATAGTCTGCTTCAGTGATTTGTACAAATCTGAGGCTGTTCCTGTTTCGGTTTCAACAATATCAAAAAATCTGATAGAGGTACTCCTACTTTCAGTGTCATGAAATATGACTATAAAGGCGCATTGTTTTTTCACAGATATATCTGTGGTTTCATCCATCACAAGTGAAAAGAAACATCCTGGTAGCCTCGATTTGGCATAAATATTAAAAAAAAATAGAACCTAAACTTTCTCTAATAATATTTGTAGCCTTAGTCCTTTTCAGAGTTCAGAGAAATAAGTTTGGCTATCTCTGAATCAGGAAAAATATTTTTCAAAAGTGGGCTCAGAGTGTCCATCAAACAAAAGGGTAAATTATTTGTGGCAAGTAGACCACATAATTTAATTTCTGCAGTTTTAACATAGGTCTCTAGAGCTGTAGTCTTATATGTGTCAGTTACCTTCTTATTATCTACTTGCTGCCAGTTGAATTTATGACGTCTACTCAACATATGTCGTCTTATGCAACTTTTGTGTGCTAATATATCATAGTTGCAAACTTTACAGAAAGCAAATTCTACATTTGATTTATTCCTTTTTTTTGTGATTGACTTAACCAACCCTTATATTCCTCATTGTCCAACCATTTGTGTGAAAACTTGTACTTTTCTTTATTATGGTTATTTTTCTGAGACCACTTCAATTTGTTTTCCTAAAAAGAAGTAATTCCAACATCCATAAGAGATCAGATCATTGCATACCTGTACATCTGAGAAAAGATTATCACTAACATCTTGGGTTTCACTTCCATATTTTTGTTTTTCTGAACAGGTAGGCGCTATGTTTGACTGAAGATTTTCATTAATATCAATAAATTGGGCTTGACTTTCTGAATAGGTAGGCTTAAATATTATATAACATTTTCACATGCACTCTTGCTTTATCAACATTTCTTACCTTGTTTTTGAAAGTTTTTAACCACTTATCCATTACGAATTACAACGCAGGTAATTGAGTTCAATTAAAAAACAAGAATATTTGAATTTGGGGTTAATGGGTTGATCAGCGTTAGCAACTTGAAGTGGACTGACTATCGTACCCAGGGGCGTAAAATTATCGTACATGGATCGAAATTATCGTATTTTTTAGGATACTGTCTCTTATAGATAAATAAATCATATAAATTGTAATATTGATATGCATGCAAGTACTCGATAGTTTATCTTTTTTAAACCATGCAATCCATACTTCGCTTTGAGGATCCGTCATGGTTGTAATAAATTGTGGATCAGCTATAGGCCATCTAATATCTGGTCCAACAAAAACAATTTCTTTCAACCTGGAAACTTTGATATTAGATATTTGAAACAAGTTTCATTTCTTGGAATTGACTTAACAATGTGCATCATCAAACCAAGCTTTATGTGAAGGGGTGTTACCGAAACTTTATGAAGGAGGCACCAAAGTTTCGTGCAGAATTTATAGAAATAGATTTATTAGAAACAGATGTCCTAATATACGTAAAGAGTATACAAATATATCAGTTGTTAAACAAAATACAAAATAAACTAAAATATATAAGACCTATATAATAGAATGTAGTGTGTAAAAACATAGCGGTAGTAAATGGGCTTGTTTCATGATTTTTTGATAGAAATTTTAAATTGAAAAGCAGTGCACTTTGTTTCATCTCTCTAAATACCGTAGTTTTCCCGTAATTAATTATTAAAAATCGAATGTGGTAGGGTCGGTGACGTCACGCCCTATTCCCGCTTCTTGTTGGATTGACCAATAGGAACAATAGAAATAATCAACATTGCCAAATCGTAAAATTTACGGAGCCTATAATTATCAATTTAATTATGGAAGTGTATATGAACCCGTTAAAGTTTCAATTAATGAAAAATTCTCCACATGTAATAAATTGTACACGAAAAATCATGCTTGGAATTAAGTTATATATCTAAAATCAGTACACAAAGTCGATAGATCACAAAATATTTACCTAAACTATGATTTTATGTATTATTTAATAATATACAGTTATGAAAAAAAAGACTCTATTAGACCGTGCTTTTGGGCTCTGTAATACGAAGGAAGGTCTCGAGAAGGAACTAGACATCATCAAAAATGACAGAAAAGACTTTGGNAACTAATTCATAACAATGATAAATGTTAATTTCAAAACTAATGAAATTTGCTTCATAAAATCAGATGAAGAAATTTGTGATTTATTCTCAGATTTAATAAACAAGCGGTACGGTTTGTTGATGTTTTTAATGATCATTTTTCTTATAAATGAAGTTATTGAAACTAGGTTCATATTATTTCATTATTTGACATATGCCAACCAAAAAAAGGTTAAAAAAATGACAACCGTCATTTCTTATTGAATATTGTCTGTATGCAACGCGAGAGCCTCGTGCAAAGAAAGAAACACCAAAACAGAAATCATATTCTTTGTGTGACGTGAGTTAGTTGTTAAGTGAGCAATAACAGATTTAACACCGGTTGCACAAGAATAACTATTTAGTATACAAACTGAACATTGAGCAGAAAGCTTTTTAATATGTTCATCACAGAAAAGATCGTCTTCATCACTTCCAATCAACAAGAAATAAAATGAAATATTTTTATTTTCCTGTATAAATATAAAGGAATTTCATAGTGATTATGCAATTAAATGGTATAGCACTATAGTGTAGCAATCGTTCAACCAGCCAGCATCAAGTAGTTTATGAAAAATTATCTGACGACTTCTTATTCAATAAATAAGTCTTAAACAAACACCATAATTTTGATATCCGAGCAAATTTCACGATGATTCTTAGGTCCATATACTATTGCTTTGCTAGCATCAATTATCAAACTATGTTTAAAAGCTAATTTGAAAAATGAGTTCAGTTCTTTATTGATTCGTGTACTGAGTGTATCTCTTTCAGAAGCTGTAGTAATTTAAGGTGTCGTCCGCGAATATACAGGGTAATTCAAATTCGATCCCACCATTGGGATCTCCTAAACTACAGGAGATACATTGAAGGTAAAATTGGAGCAAAGTTGCGTTTTTTGTGATTAACAAAATACTGTTTTGAAACTTGAAGATTCCGAGTATTTCCGGAAATATCTGGAAAAAACTGAAAATCGGAATTTTCGTTATTTTTTCTAGCGTTATTTGACAACATTCAAAACCACAAATATAGTTTTTTTGATATTATTTTTCAGCTACACGTTTTCATGTTCAGATCTACTATCCAACGTTTCGTCGTCTGACAATAATCATCAACTTTTTTTTTATGTGTGCCATAATATGTGGAAGCAACGACATTCTGGTTAGATATTTCCTAAGCTACGTATCAATTGACCTTTCCAAAACATTTGATAGGGGTGGGAGAATACTAATTGCTTTAAAGTCCTTATAATCAATAGGGGATGCTTTTTTAGGTGAAACTGTCACCACTGCTCTATGCCATGCTACAGTGAAATCACCTTCAGTAAATCATTGATTTATTTTGTTCAGATCATCAGAAACAACTGCATTTGTTTTACTTTCACATATGGTTTTGTACATATATGTATTTGAAGAAATATTATCTCACTGTCAAATAGTAATTGACAACATTGCTCTACTGAGGACACGAAGTTCAGGTAATAACATTCCATGGTTTGATCATGAGGTGAATATTATAATAAAATTAAACAGCGTGATAAAACAAAATTTCCAAAGACTCAGGAATGGACAACTTTCAAAATAGCAAGAACTCTGCTACTAGTTACTAATTCAATGAAAAAAAAGAGAAAAACAAAAATAGCCCGCGGCTTATGTATACAACATTAAAAAAATTAATCGATGACAAACAAAACTTTCGTAACGTTTTCGAGTTTAATATTAATGAGCTACAGGTCATAAATTACAACAAAGTAATTGTTGAAATTTCAATTACCTACTTCTTCGAAAATGGTATACATAATTTCATCCTGAACATTGATGATGGCCTTGAACGGTTTGTCAGTAATTATAATTCCAAATTCTTCGGAATTGAAACAATTGTCAGTGGGTGAACTACAGAAAATAATCATTATAATAAGACGAATATCAAAGATATTTTCGAAGCTTAAATGGTTAAGGAAATATTCCAAACTATCGGGCATCTGATATTACTTTACTAAATGCTGCAATATCAAATGCATCAAAAATTATCTCTATAACACTTGTGCCTAAAATAAATAATGCATATTTATTCCATTTATACCATTTGTTTATAAAAATATTCCTGCAATTTTTATGTTATAAACCATGATAAATATGACTGTATCACTCACATAACTTTTTATCCAACATATATAGATATTAATCAGTAATTTCAGCTAATCAATTTTACTTTGAAAATATTATTGTATGGATTATGAACACAAATAAGTTAACAAGAAAATGTTTTCTTAAATTTATTAGCCTAAGCATCTTAAAAACTAAATATGAACTGTGTTCATTTTGATAAAGTTTTTTATTAATATAATTCTTGAGGGTAAGGAATTGGTCTACTTCATCTCCTGAAGACCCCAACTTTATTGGTGAACAGTGCTTGATTTTGGATTTATTCTACGTCACGTCAGAGGTCCCAGTTCTAACTAATCAATTTCAGTTCTTTCCAAATCATCTTGCCATTTCTTTTCATGTTTAATTTCGTATTTTAATTTCTTATAAGAACCCAAACAAATATATATCCCAGAGGAATATTTAAGATATATTCATTAGGAATCACACGTTAAAAGGTAAGACCTCGTTAGTCCTTAGCTCGCACAAGTTTCTCAACTTCTGAGAGTTGTCGTTCGTATGGGGGCGACAGCTGATTAACGGAAACACATTTTTTTAACAGATGTTTAATGCCAGTCCGCCTAAGATGTCCATTTCAATATATTATTATTAGTACCTACAGTAGAAGAATTCCAAAGTCAAGAAGTATCTACACCAATCGGGGTGAAGTTGCTGTTCTATAAAGATTATCCAAGAGACACATGTCATTAACTTGTCAAAACATGAAGTACATTTTAAGAAACTTATCCAAACAAAATCCACACAAATGGAAGATATCACTGAAAGGAAGAAAATATCTCTCTCCAACTGACCTATCTCCAGAAGAAATGAATTACTTACTATCAACAGCAACTAATTTGGAGAAAGGTATTTGTGTTAACAAACGAGCTCTTGCTGGTAGAAGTATTACAATTCTACTAAACCAACCATGTTTGAAGATGCAAACTTGCATATATAACACTGCAAAAATGCTTAAAATGTCTATAAACCTCCTGATTCATACAAACTGGACTGCGTGTCAGAATCCACTAGATGCTGGTAAACTGCTCTCTACAGGATCAGATATAATATTTTGTCAGTCTCCAAGACACAGCAAGTTACAAATGTTTGCTCAAGGAGCTACTGTACCTGTTTTAAACCTCAGGTGAAGTAAGTCTCACAGGTCAGAAAATTATGTATGTTATCTCATGATCAACGCATTGCGTTTCTTAATAGAAATTGTTAATGATCAGAGTAATTTGTTGAATAATATGAACTACAATCAACGATATATTTCTTGGCATTGAAAGGTTCAATACTAAAGCTTAAAGGTGGGTATCATTTCACCAAAACCTAAATCAGAAGTAATTTCAAAAAATAACTTGGGAAAGTGAAGAAAAAAATGGTTTCCTTTAGGATATTTCTATTTTTCAACAACTGTGCCTAAATTCAGTTATAAAAAAATGTTCTAGACCACGAGTCTAACTATATGTCCGATATTCCATCCACCAGTGCCAAAAATACATACAAATATGAATAAATAGCATGGCAAAGAAAAAAAACGAATGAATAGAAAATTAATGAAGAAAAAGATAAGGAGTTGATTATAGTGATAATTTCAGATTTTGATTCTATCCCGTGCCAGATTATATTTCACTGAATTATTTTTCCAAGAATGAACTATTCACATTTATTGTTTTTCTTCATATTCAAATTGTGAACGTAAGCTCTGTAGAAAAAGTCTTCATTGAGGTAAGGTGGACTTTTATGTTGAGAAGGAAGTTTGGTTCAATATGATATATTCATATCACTTGCATGTCATGCATATCGTGTGTGATCAAACATAGTATAAAGATAATAATAACATAGTATAAAGATAATAATCTTTATACTATGGCTCAAATTGGGAGATTTTCTAATGAAAGTGGAAAGCATTCCAAAATCTTAAGGTGTTCAAAGACTTGTTGATTGCCATTTTCACTACATTGCACATCTTAAATCTCCCATTTGTGAATTTGTTGGGTTCGAGGTTCTTTTATAGTCGGCAGGAAATGCTAAAGACTGAAATGCAATTTTCGATAATAATAGATAAAATGCAGAAATATTAATTTTTCCTAGACTAGGTACTTACTATTTTTTTTCTTCGCGGGAACCGGTTATACTTTGTTAAACCAGGATAAGAGATTATGATATTCTTCATGTCATTTAAAATTATCTCACCATATTGAGTGTAGTCAATAGAGCCAAAGAATGAGTTTCTCAAGTGAAAATTTAAGAAAAACAAGTGAAGACCATTAAAATCAGCACATATATATGTAATGCTAGACTAATACACTGTGTACCTATGTGACAGAGTATTACACCTATACATTCAAAAACGGTAACAGTCTACATGTTCTTTCTGAGACCCAGGATGTTTTAAAAGCATATCTTAATTCTTTATTTTTTGATGAACTACTTATGAGAATGTCATCTGTGTGATGATAAGGAAGTACAAACCTAGTCATCAAGGAAACTTCAAGAGAGAGGGAAAGGTCAATTTAAAAAACGCTGAAAAGTGACCCTTCACCCTTTCATTTGTTGCAAAGAATAAATTCGTTTAATATTATTATCTTCCCCCTCTTACTGAAAACAGATACATGAGAATACTACCAGGTGATTTGAACGCAATAGATTTTTTGCCCATTTTTATCGTTTTGAAACTTTATGGAAAATATCATTGACGAAATTTATCATTTACGAAATTTATTGAGCGTTCATTGTCGGATTTTTCCAACAAATTTCCATTCGGATGCATAAATTGTAAGCTAATATTCATTAATCATGCATACTTTTACTTTTACTGAGGTGAATTTTGCGGTGAGCCTAATACACATATAAGAATTTTTTTATAAGATGACCCCTTGCTCGATAAACCAAGACGTTCTGGTATAATTATACAGTGCAAACTTCAATAGTACTTCTCCATTCAAATTTCGAACGAGGTAATATGTCAGAGTCGGACAAAAATTTTGTAAAAAGGAACCATTTTTAGTACTTTCAATATAAAAGCCAACAGTGTGACATCTTTTTTCTTTAAAGAAAAGAGGTCTTGGGACATTTCGTGTGAAATGTATTCCAATGTATACCAATCCACATGCCTGGTTATGTCTCATCCAACTAATCCCTTACAGGACTTAACAAAATTTGGGAGTGCCCCTTCATGTTGGAAAAAACTGGATTTTCGAATTCATCTTTTCCAAATAGAAAAGGGAGTTGGAAAAAAGTTGATAGCGCCCAATAAGGTTTAAACATGATTCATTATCATACAAATTTGGTCCGTCTTTGATATTTTGTTCTATTCAAAAGTTAAGAGGGGGGTGGGACTATTTACGTCCGCGCTGTATATATTTTCTGAAGTTCTTAAACATAACCAACTAAGATGGAGCCTGCAGGTCCCGTTTGTTTCAATGAATTGATTCAATCTATAAATTATCAAAGACGGATTTATGACTAACAAAAAATCAAATAAAAATAATTTTCATCACAGCTCTTGCCAGTTTGTATCACTCAATATTCTATCGGATCTACTGACCCTTCAGAAGCATTTTGGTAAAGTTGATGGATTAACACTTGCTTGGATTGGCAAACCATGCCCGCTAATGAATACATACCTATCAATTGCCCCTTTGTTGGGAGTTCGGATAAAATACTACTCCGTATGTGGGGGTCCTATGTCTCCATTAGCCATACACAACCTTCAAGAAAGAGATGAAGTGTACAAAGAAAGAGTAACTGAGTGCAAAGATATAAAGCAGGCCGTCTCAGGTGAGTAGTTATGTTAAGTTTCTGGTAATCAGAAAAAATAATAATATCGCAGTTGATCTCGTGAGAACTGAATCAGAGGTCCATGAAAACAATAACCTCTATTTATGGATTTCATAATAATTTAAAATAATAGCTGCTGAATTGGGATTACCAAACACAGCTGTCAGATCAGCAAAAACACAATCTACACAAAATTTGAAATTTTCACCTCTGGATAAATAAGATAATGAAATGGGACTGTGAAAGTTTCTTTTCAAATTTATGAACTCGCTTCCTTTTTTATCTACCATCTATTCAAATAATATTGTTGACACAGATGTCCATGATTATCTTAGATTATAATAAAATTTCAAGAAGACTGCACTTCGTGTGCCTCTCTTAGAAAAAAATGCAAGTCCATTTATTTCGGATCTTTCAATACATTTTCAAACTCTCCAAAGGGTGTGTTGAAAACAATTATAAACCACTGATGATTTAATTTTCTGTCAGGAGCTCAAGTTATCATGACCAACAACCATACTGAAAAATCAATGACACTGAAAAAAGCAGATTTGGATAAATATGCCGACCAGAGATGGGTGTTCCTTCATAATCTTCCACGATCCTCGATAGAAGTTGAAGAAGAGATATTTCAAAGTGAAAAAAATCTACTATGGAAATCCTTTTGTAATGCAAAATGGGTATGTGCGGCTATCATTACAAGATTTATAGATGTACCATATTGACTAAAAATATTTCAAAGTGAAAGGTGTTCCTATTAACTCCAAAAACTGGAGCGATATAATAATAAACAAACATCAGATATGTAAATATTATTTACTGTACAATTAAACTCTGATTTATAAACAAAAATATTCGGCATCCATAGTACACAGAAATTCTTTGCATTTTTCATTTTATATAAAATACTAAAACGTGTTTCGTTCACCAAGTGATCATCTTCAAGAGGGAGATCAAACTGTTGAGGTGAACAACATATTTTTTCCTAATACTAAATGAAAAAGATGTTTCTCAATACACATTTTGCAAATATACTTAGTACCACAGTGTGAACTATTTAAAAGTAGTAATCTTTATAAAATCCATAATTTTTGTTAATTATTGCGAATATAGTTTATTTGAAAATGATTTAATAAACTGAAACCGGTCGTAACAAATAAAAGTTATTTTCTTCATCCTATATTCAATATGAATTTCAATAGATCATTAATCGAACAAATTATTGTTAACAATAATAACTCTGCCTGAAATAAGTATTTTTACTAGAAAAATATTGACTTACTGAAAGTTATCTGAAGGTTCCACAGTAGTCTGAGTGATTATTCTTAAATCTGATTATGCCACTAGATCAGGTATAATTTGAAAAAGTATTGGGAAAAATGTTACAAAAAATATTTTTTCAAACTCAATGGAGTAAATCTTTTGAACCTCAAAACGATGAAGAAAACACCGATGTTTGGGTTTTCATGGCTGTTTGAGAATTTGAAGAAATCAACATTTATTTTGTTCCCTTTTTTAATGTTTTTTGTAACGCCAATACTTTTTGAAATAATTGAAAAACGTCACGTAATTGTAAAAATAATTAAATTTGGAATTGTACAATATTTACGAAATAAAAACAGTTTTAGAAGCTATAAGCAGCTCAGTTTCTTAGTAGAATGTAAGCAGTTCAGACTTTAGCTTTTCAATAACATAATTTGGTAGCAGAGCGTCGCTATCGCAATAAAAAAAAACATAACAATGGCATTGAATTGAACCTGGTAACTTTCACCCCAATTCGAAATCACCTCTAGATCCTCAATAAGATATGCAACCTCCTGCTGCCGGTGAAGATGTGCATTTGAAGCTGATGAAGATGTGCATCTGCAACCGATGTCCTGGAATCCAAATGGAAGGACAAGAGAAGTGTGCTGTTGTCAGCAAAGCTAATATATTGGATTCTTGGATTTTTCCAATAAATCGTGTATATACAACAAGAAAGGGTTGGAGACAATATGGATCCCTGAGGAACACCAGCGTTGATGGTAAAAGTAATCGAGAGATATCCATCAACAGCTACTAGCAGGGAACATTCTTTCATGAAGCTACAGAGTCATACACAAAAATAATACAAGCCCTAGCATTGAAATTTGCTCAGCAAACCATCATGCCACACGCGGTTAAAGGCCTTAGAAAGATCAAGCGCAACAGCTCTTGACTATCGATGTTTCTCGATTGCGTTATTCCAAATATGGGTGACATAGGATAGAAGGTCGCCTGTTGATCTTTGTTTCCGAAAGCCATATTGATGATCGCTCAAGATGTTGAAGCTTCCAAATAAAGTTTCCAAACCAAATTATTCTATCACGTTTCGAATGTTAGTATCCACAATCGTCTTCAGTTGATTATATTTCAAGATGAACTATAAACTAGCCTTCAGCCAATCACAATTTGCTTTTTGCCGTTACATCACATGACACTTTTCACGTGATATGCGAGTCTTTCTTATAGTATTTGTGTAATATAATAAATCTGTCTAGTACCAACTCTGTCATATAAATGACAAAACTGTTAATTGGTGTATTCAATACCAGAGTTAGAGCTCAGAGCATACAAACGACATTCCTAAAAGGTATAACCATGTGCAAATTAAGGATTAACGATGTCATACCATAGTATGTTAAGGTCACTAACTAAACACTTTAGATGACACCTGAATAGATCATAGGAGCCAAGCAATTTTTGGATAAAATAAATTATGAGAGAGAACAAGATTCTTGCATAGAAAAGTAGGAGGAGAACCGCAATACGCCTATGAAATTGGAATGTAATATTTGAAACAAAAAATGTTACATGTTCGGGAGTAATAAAAATTATTATTCGAAACAAATACGTTTGTTAAAATGGCTGTATCCTTACAAAATTCCCGATTAATGCTCATCCTTCAGCATCATGTAAACATCTATGCTGTAAAAAGGACCGGAACTTCTACTTGAAAAATTATCCTCAGAGCATGTTTGGCTCTGGGATATATACCAAAAACATGAAGACTGATTAGGAAGATAGTAGTGGTTACCAGACCACTGTATCGAGACCAATATGCCTACAGATCAGGTATGTAGACAGAAACGGCTTTATGCCTAGTCACGGAAAAAGCAGAATGCTCATAAGAACAAAAAAGGGCTTTAACTGCTTTTTGGACTTAGAGGGTGCATCTGCTAATACGTTCCCAGATTCACTTATCCAAGCGTCGAGAAGAAAAAGGATCGACAACACACTGCCGGTGGATAGAAGTCATGCTTAGAGCAAAATTGGTATACACAACCATCATGGGAGAGACAGTACTGGCGCGGGTAGCAAATGAAAAAACTACCTCAAGGGTGGTTTTGTTCCTTACCTAACCACCTCAAGAGTGGTTTTATCCCCACTCTTAGGGAATCTTGTAATAAACGAGTTACTATGTCTTCTGAACCATAATGGATACAAAGTACTGACTAGTCATCGTAGTCTAGGTCAAATATAATATCATAGTGAAAGGACACATCAATCAGGCCCTGAATATTATAAATAAATAGACCCGGTTGACCTGGAACAAACATCTGGAAAGAGTTAAAAGAAAGGCGGAGGTATCATTGTTGCTGGCCAGGCACCTACGGAAAAGAGATGGTGGCTTGAACCAAACATCATATATTGTCTTCACATCATGTTGGTTAAATCCATGATAGCATATGCATCTATGGTCTGATGGCCAAAGATGAAACAAACGACCGTTTTATTAACAAACAATTGTGCATTTAAGCTACATTGGAGGCACTCTTGAAACTTCCTCCTTTACATCTAGTAATAATAGGGGCGCAACAATGGGCTAACTCCGACTGGAAAATTCACCGAGTTACATGATATCGGGAAAACAGAAATTTCGCTATATGTGGAGGAACGAACATCAAACATGTACTTGGACCACATTACATCGAAATACATATTCGACACAAACTTCTTGGTTAAAGTCTTCAAACGCAAAAGAGTGTAAAATGAACAGACATCCTGAGTACATGCTCGGCAGAAACACCTGGAACAAAGACGGGTCGAAAACCGACCATGGAAAGGGAGCTGGAATTTACTGTGCAGGAAGAAATCTTCATTGTGGTTACTAGCTCAATCAGTACACATCAGTCTTCCAGGCTGAAATGTAAGCAATCTTACAATGCGCAATAAACATTAATACGGGGCAGATCAATATTTTTATAGACAGCCAAGCTGCACTTAGGGCAATGACGAACCCAGAAGTGACATCGAAATTGGTCTGAAAATGCAGTGAAGAAACTGGCCGAGGAGTGTGCCAGACACTCCGTATATAGACCGTGAACCAGCTGTAGGGGCACCAAAGTTTTTGGTAGGGAACCAGATAGGAATCAGGGTTAAATATCAGGGAATGATACTACATTACATACCATGCGAAAATATACCAGGGAACACGCACGGGAAAACCTTTATCGAAGGACCGTCCGAAAAGAGAACTGAAGAACTGCTTTAACAAAGTAAGAATCGGTTCAGAACAAATACAGGGCTATTCACTGGGCACTGCCAATTGAAAGGACACCAGAACAAAATAGGGCCGTACAACGAAGACATTGACTGCAGGCAATGTAACAAGTAAAAGATCTTTAGATTTATGGTCATTATTATTATTTCTGTAAATAATTTATAACTGCAAAATACGGGACAACCAGTCCCATATTTTGTAGGTTATAAATTCAATTCAATATTCACCATTTCAATTATAAAACTATTCAGGAACAGAATAAAAAATACAAATATTATTTTTGGTCTTTATTATTATTTCAACAACTATAGTCTATTTCAAAAGAGCGTAGAGTAATAAAATCTCATTAAGTATTCAAAAGCGCTACAGGGTGATCCGTCAATAAATTCTGTCACTTCCCTAGTCCGCATTGCAAAATTATGTCGTTTCATAAAGAGCAGGTAGGTATCACCCTGTTTTAAGGGATTTGTCCATTGTTATCGACGGATAAATACTGAGCCAGAGGCGCGCTAGTGGGATAATTGCCAAAAGAATATGCATTCATAAAAATTATATTAAAGGAAATAAAAATTTAATACAGCAGAACAGTGTTATTAAAAAAATNAGAACTTTATACAAGTGTAGAAAGGGCAAACTTTTTAGTTTACTGGAGAGAATTGTATTTCGAACAGCTCCTTAGAAATAGATCGTACTTGGCTACCTGCCTTGAAGAAAAATTTAGATAGTGGCAAAATGGAGAGCACCTTGTATTACATCGAATGTTTCAGTAGTCAATCAACAACATTGACATAATTCACATTTCAAAACTCCTTTGACATCTAACGAATAAGTTGAGAAAATAATCAGCAAAGGAATAACTAACTGCATATATCTGTTAATTTTTGGTCCATTTCTGAAGACGTTGGCAGAGTTTGGCCTTCAAAACATTAAGATAAGTCTTGTATTATTTCTTAGCAATTTTTTAGATAGGCAAAAGTGTTAAATACGACAAGTTACTGATAAATAGAACATTTATCTTTGTGAAAAATCCTTTGATTTTACACAGTAACTTATCGGGGTAAACAAAAAGTTTGCCATTTCTACACTTGTATAAAGTTCTCCATCATAATTTTCATATTTTTTTCAGATTGTGGAAAGTGAAAAAACCCAAAAAAGTGGATAACAAACAGAAATCATTTCAAGAAGTAGGCATTAGACGCCATCTATGGTGTTAGACAATATTCTACCAAAAATATAATACCCCCTCATAATTTCTCAGCTACAAATATCTCAGCTGAGAATATCTCAGTAAAAAAAGGCTCAGGACAAAAAATTCTTTCGACAAGAACATCTTGCCAAATAAAATATACAAAAACTTCTTTAATGTTAGTGCTTTGTGTATTTCCCTCTATGATAGCTGAACATACCCCTGCTACCTACTCCTTTTTTTTTTTGTGGGGTACTTTAGTTTTGAGATGTATTTGTCTGGAGATATTTTTGGTGGAGATATTATTCCTGGAATTAAAAATGGGGAGCCCATTTTTTAAGATAAAACTTCTAGTTCTTGCAAAAACACACCTGAGATGAAGACACTATATGCCTTTTATCAGGAGACCAATCTGAACATAAAACCTTGGCTTGGTGACCCTTTAAGGTTCTTCTTGGTTTAATGTTCATATAATTAATTATATCCAAGCGTTCCGCAACAGTTGCCACTGAAATGTAACAATGTATTTTCCGAAAATTCTGTCAGAATAAAAAAACCTACAAGTAACATCATTCAACTTTTGTCTCTCATCTTCCAATTTTTTTTTCAGGGCCTCTACCTCTTTTGTCAAAGACTCTATAGTCTCAACAGGACCATCTTTACTTTCATTTTCCATTATGGTTGTCAAAGTTATTTATTTTAAAAATATGGCTATTATAAAAAAATCAATATAAACAACAAAGATCCCATTGGTTTAGTGTACTCTGCCCAGTAAGATTACTTCCCATTTTTGGTATTGAATCCAGTGTTGCCAATGGGAAATCGTCAAAATACCCAAACTTGTTACTAAGATTACCCGATTTTTGCCAGGACACAACACTTTTCAAAAAGTCGGTGTTTTCAAATAAAATTGAATTGTTTAAAGCAAGAAATATGTTGATTTGAAAGTCAAGCTCATCGTAGATTGACGACGAAATGTGCAATACGCTTTTACTTTTGAAGACACAAAAAAATTATATTACACTGAATATGCTCTTGTACTCTACTGCCAAAATAATTCGGTATGAAATGTAGGATAGTGACAGTCAATAGTATTATGAAAAATATTTTTTGAACCATTTCTTTAATGGATGATATTCTAATAGGATGTGGTGGCCCGTTTTCATAATTTTTTGTTGGCAACCTTTTGTATCAACTGTCAATGTCAGTAAATATTGTTTCAATATTTTAAACCACAATAGTATTTATTGCACAAGGAACAGCAATTCAAATAGAAAATACACATAATATGATGAACATTTATTACGAAAAAACAAACCATATACAACTAGAAATGTAAAAACGGAATACTGTCTACATTGACATAACTTAAATAGGAACTCTAAATATTTAACACAACTTCATTCGAGGTACTAGCGCATATACCTACTCCACAAAAATGATCACATCACTTTTCAGTAGGAATTTCAGATTTTTAGAACAGTGAGAAATTAATAATTGGAAGTTGGATAAAGCGCCATAATCCCATAATATATATCTGTAGTCATCAAAAAATTTAAAAATCAGGAAGTATTGGTGATGAGATCATTTTTATAGTGTGTGTATTTATATATAATACTATTTTTACAATATTGCAATTTATTTTTCTGGATACCATATATTAGGATTGAGCATATTTTGTTCGGGCACAAAATGTAAACAACCCCCATTTTCTCGAATGCCTTCCCTTGTAGCCAACAGTGACCTTACTGTGGACGTCGATAATAAATTTCTAGCCTATGTTTTAATATTGAACAGACTACTGAAAACTATTTCTGTAGAAGCATTCGAAGAAGGCAATATCAAAAGAAACATTATAACTTTTTTCAAGTTTGGAAATAGTGCGGCTCCTACAGCATTTTTCAACTCAAAAATTTCAGACCAATATTCATCTGCTTCTACAGGAAGTACTTATGATGCACTGTTTGGAACCTTTGGTGTTACACTATGATATCACACAAATATGAAATTAAATTGAAATTATTGCAAATGCTAAAGATGGGTGGCTTGAAATACAAATTGGTTCTGGCCAGTCGGCTGTAAAAAGTTTTTGTACTTCTAGTTCTAAAATGAGGCACACAGAAATTTATAAAAGATAACATTTCCATAGCATCTACATTGTTGTGCAGTAATTTATACAGAACAATTATTCCAGCAAGTTTTCTGCGTAATTCAAGACTTTCAATATTAAATGTTATGGTAAAAGATTAATTTGGAATACCTCTATCAGGATAGATACCATAAGATTTGAAGTAAATAAACTTTAGGAAACGACCTTGAACTTTTTTAATTAATGTATTATAGCAATTGTAGAATGAAGACCATAGAACAGAGCCATATTCTAATTTTGACCTTATGTAGGCTACATAAAGAGTAAAAAGAGCAGATATGTTTGAAAAAGATCTACCTTTAAGCTGTCGGTAGTCACGCCTATTTATAAAAGCGGAAATAAAACCGATATGAGTAACTATAGACCTATTTCCTTAATTTCAAACCTCGCCAAAATACTAGAAAAAATGTTGAAAACTAGATTGAGCAAATTCATTAACAAATATGGATTACTTTCAACAACACAATACGGGTTTAGGGAGGAAAAATCTACCCAGGACGCAATTCAGGTCTTAACTGGAGACATATGCAATGCATTAGATAAAGGTATTCCATCAATAGCAGTATTTATAGATCTCACTATGGCTTTCGATACCGTTAAACATTCCATTCTTCTACAAAAACTTGAGGACATAGGTAAGAGGTTCATCATATGAATTATTAAAGAATTATCTAACAGACCGAGGGCAAATATTGAAATTCAAAGAAAAAACGAGTCGGAAAAAATCCATTACATGTGGAGTAAGTACCCCAAGGAACAGTACCGGGACCAATATTATTCACAATTTACCTCAACGACCTACTATGTATGGAAAAAAGTGGAAAAATCACAAGCTTAGCTGATGATACTGTCCTTTTTTATACAGACAACAACTGGTATGACCTGAAAAATAAAATTCAAAAAGACCTCAATAAATTGAAAATGTGGTTCGACTATAACCTCTTATCAATAAATTTCGAAAAGACACACTACCTACCATTTAACTGTCAAGATGTATTTCTTCCTACGTTTGATATTACTCTAACAAAATGTACAATAAAACCAAAAGAAAAAATTAAATATTTAGGAATCATCATAGATTCACATCTTCGGTGAGATCAGCATATTAGCTATCTATTGAAAAAATTGTGATGCATTTTATATAGATTCAAGTATGTGACGGAGTACTCGGACCAAGATCAAAAAATCATTTTGTACAAAAGTCTTGTCGAACCGCACTTGAAATACGGCAATTTCGGTTGGGGCGGGGTGTCAAGAACACACCTTGATGCATTGGAAGTAGGTATCCCAAAGAAGATTATTGAAAATCATCCTGAATAAAAATAGTAGATACTCCAGTGATCAAGTATATAAAGAGACAAAAACGTTTGATCTAAGACAAATATACTTTGAACAGCTGAATATTGCAGTATCCAAAAAAAAAATTGATCTCAATCTGGATCATACGTATCTTACCAGAGGAAAAAACAAATTTGTCCAACCGATAATGAGCAAGTCAGTAGGCCAGAAAAGGCATCAGTTTTTGGGTCCAAGGGCTTTCAACACTCTTCCTGATGAAATAAAAATTCAACAATCGATATCAAATATAGTTTCGACAGGTAAATATATTTTCAAATCATCTGTAAAAAATAACTTATTACAAACGACATAATTACTGAGGTCATTAATAAATAATAAGAACAGAAGTAGTCCCAGATTCGACCCCTGGGGTACTCCAGATGAAGGATTGTTATAAAAAGAATCATAACCATTATAAGATACAAACTGTTCACGTTGAAGTAAGTAGGATTTAATGAAAAGTACTGCTGAATTATGGAAACCAAATTGGTGGAGTTTTTGTATAAGGATCATGTGATCAAGTCGATCAAATGCTTTAGCAAAATCAACTTGACCATGATTATCAATCAATCAAATCAAAATATGCTTTATTACCCAAGATCTGAACATCTTATTGGCAAAGTCTAGTAAAGTAAAACGCGTATGGACAATTAACAAATATAAACTATAAAATAATGCTTGGAGACAAAAACAGAATATATGGACAGAATAATATTAAGCCCAGCTGAACAGATACAAATATAAGTACATGAATATTGAGTAAATGTAAATATATATAATGATACGCAATGAACATTTATAGCCATTTCGTGTTGATTTCAATACCTTGTTTGCACAAAGCTACATTCCAATTACTCGATAGAGCCTTGGTAGAATTCGGCCACACTATAATAGGGCCTCCCAACAAGGAATTCTTTTACTTTCTTTCTAAACTTCTTTTCATTATATATTCACCTTAAATTAATGGGAAAGTGGTTAAATAACTTCTTGCTATTGAAAATAATAGAATTTTGTGTAAGGGCTAGAGTAGGTGTTGGAAGTGAAATGAAGTAAGACTGACGTGTACTATAAGTTGAGATGGTATTAAATTAATTTTTATATTTTTGTGGATAAGACACACTGTTTCCAAAATAAAAATACATACTCAGGTCAGAATTTTTGCTTCACAAATAATGGTTAGTATGAATCCCTGTAGCTAGCCTTGCATAAATATCTGACAGATTTTTTTTGTAGAGAGAATACCATATTAAAACGAAATTATGCACAATTTCTCCAGAAACAAATTCCATAAATTCCAAAGACATGAGTTCAATCACGACTATAATGTGTTACATTTAGAATAGAAAAGTTTGAAACTCATTCTTTTGGAATGTTTAGGCATAAATAGATTCATAAGTGTTTATTTAATGGAGTTTATATACGTTTTTTCCTTAATTTATTTATTCTCCAACTCAGGTACACATTTTCAACATGAATTGGGTAGGTAAAACCTCAGGTATTTGAAATTCGGGTACCTCAAATTGTTAAAAATTTAATATGTAGATTTTAGAATAGACACCTAAAGAAGCTATTGTATAGCTTCTCACAATCTCACAAAGTGTTTCTTGAATACAAAATATGTTTTAACTATAATAAATCAAATTTACTTAGATTAATCAAATGCAACCTACCATTTCCAAAGATGTTGTATTATAAGCCGCGCAAAGTTTGGCATTACATATCTTCTAGATCATTTCCGAAATTTCCCCTGGCTAGTTGTTTATTTCAGCTCTATCGATTCATCGACGTGTACTTCTGAAGTCACGAAAGTTATTCTATCATGCATAAATATGCATGGATGCATAAATACCTTTTTCAATGAAATGAACTTCTAACGGCAAACCTTGGTTCAAAATTGTAAGCAAGCTGTCTTACCGGCAGACGCGCAAAAATCCCAGTGTCGAAAACCGAACTAGGTTTGTTAATGCTCGCAACAGCTGCAAACTTAGAATAAATAAAAGCAAAGAACGCCACAATCAGAGAATTTGGGATAAACGGCTTGCCAAACCCAACGGGTCTTTGACCGTGTGTGGTCAGTTTCCTGAAAGAACGTTAATGCAAGTGGCCGTCGATGGATATCTCTTGAATACTTTTACCATCAACGCTGATGTTCCCCAGAAATCCATAATGTCTCCAACCCTCTTTTCGTTGTATGTCAAAGACTCATTGGGAAAAACCAAGAATCCAATATATTGCTTTGCTGACGATCGCACACTTGTCTCGTCATTCCATTTGGATTCCAGGACATTGGCTGCGGATGCACATCTTCACTGGCAGCAGGAGGTTATATAGCCTAATGAGGATTTAGAAGTGATTTCGAATTGAGGTGAAAGTAACCAGGTTCATTTCAATACAACATAAACCCAGGCATCGGTTTTCTCCAAAAAGATAAATGTCTCCGAACCAGGTATAATAATGTAATTCCGCTTTCTGGTTGGAGATTTGTCTCTCTTCTATAGATACTTTCACAGGAAGTGTTCAAGTGACTCGGCACATTTAATTCCACCAAGAGAGGTACATATCCCAAATACGAGACGGACCTTGGCTACTCATCGTTTTGAGGTTCTGTTTAAATCTATTCAAAATATGTTTTTCCGTTAATCAGCTGTCGCCCCCATACAAACGACAACTCTCAGAAGTTGAGAAACTTGTGCGAGCTAAGGACTAACGAGGTCGTACCTTTTAACGTGTGATTCCTAACACGGTTGCAGAATCATCCCAGCTTCAACCAGATAAATTCTCTCGAGAAAAATATCTGGTTGGTCGGGGCGGGAATCGAACCCACGACCTGAGTCGGGCGCACAACCACCGCGGCCAATTCCACAACTCAGTACACCCCGAACTTCACTGTTTAAGAACTTTTTCATTTGGAGAACTGCGCTCATAAACTTCCTAAGAACGTTTTTCCAAATGGATTTATTCTCCAGCGATTCAAATCCAGTGTGAATCGCTACTTTCGCACTGGCACCGCTCTTAGTGCGCCTTAAAGGATTTTCCCGTAGTGCTTGTGTTTTGTTCTAAAAAAAAAAAGACTAATAATTTGAGGTAACTCAATGTTTGCAAAAAATACTTTTGAAATAACTACTAACTGTTTAATACAATTTTTCTTCTTGAATTCACAACTCGATACGTTGTATTGATAGAAAAAAGCTAATAAGTGGGTATAACATGAGTAATTGATTTATACAATATGAAAAAAATTCAACTCAACGGTGATAGTATCAAGATACAGAGTATAAATGGAATATTGTGCCTGTTATTTCATACCAAAAATGAAGCATTCAGTAATTTTTTTATTCTTCTTGTTTTGTTTTTGATCAATAAAATTTTTCGAGAAATTACCTACCTCACTTGTAATAGTGGACTGCAAATGAAATGAAATCAACAACAATTATATGTAAATATAATGTTCAGAAATAAATCAACACATTTTCTGGATCGAGTTAAAAATTTCTTTTCTTGTTTTCAAAATATATTACAAAAAAGTAGTGAACACACTTCAAACCTTGTCTTTCGAAAGCTAATACGATTGAGTTGGGCCCATAGACACTTTTGATCAGAAGGTTGACTACTGCAATTTAACAAAATTTTGGACAATTATTTAATACAATGTGCCAGGTATAATTATAATTTGTTATCTATTAATTTTTGCTCGAAATATGTTTGTTATTATGCATATTATAGTAATAATGAAAATTGAGTCTACTCAGGATATACGGTTCTTAGACCTAATGCTCACTCACGTCTTGGCAAGAGTACTTGTCAAAAAGTTTTTGCATAATCAAGAAAAAGTCAAGTTTCAGTTTCGTACATTTCGNATATATAATATGAATATAACAGTTTAGTCACTGGTAAATGCTATCGATTGAAATTATTGTTCATTGCATGATGACAACTATATGTAAAAAAATGTACAAAATTAGATTTGACTGATTCAGAAATTATTACTTTATGTTGATTTCAGGATGGAAAAAGTCCTGTAGAAGTAACAGGGGAAATTACTGGTCTGAATAAAGGTCTGCATGGTTTCCATATTCATGAATTCGGAGACAATACTAATGGGTGTATCTCTGCCGGGGCTCACTTCAACCCTCTGAAAAAAGATCATGGTGGTCCAGACCACAGCGTTCGTCATGTCGGAGATTTGGGAAATATTGAAGCAGGAGATAATGGTGTAGCTAAAGTACACATCACGGACAAGCTCATTTCCTTAGAAGGAGAGTTCAATATCGTTGGTAGAACAGTTGTTGTTCATGGTGATCAAGATGATTTAGGTCAAGGTGGACATGAACTTAGTAAGACTACTGGTAATGCAGGAGCAAGATTGGCCTGCGGAGTTATTGGTTTGGCTAAAATCTAATTGATGAAAGCTCACTCTTGAATATAATTTGTTTTAAAGTTCTAATGTTTTATTGTTTCATTAAAATTTCAGTGAAATTGGTTTGGAAATAAAAAAAGTTTCGACTATATTGTGTCTTATTTTTCGTTTCGAGATATTTAACATCTTAACTTGCTAATTTAACCTAATGACTCAAAAACTGAGTATGAGCTGGGTACTAGGGATTTAAATTTGAATCTAGAATGTATCTTTTGGGCAAAACCTGCCTAGAAGTCAACGAACAATTCTTCTAGGCAATTGAAAATACAGTTGCAGTTAACCTAATATATGAATTTTCCAATCTCAATTGAAAAGTTGTTGATAGAAATTGCTATACTGTTTATGAATTTCAATATTCTATTACTAACTAACTATGCTATTAGTCTTAGAACTGCTTATACATATATGTGAATACTCCTGTATGTATGCGTGTGGGTGTTTATGTGCGTACATAAGTGTTTATCTAATTATTGTTTTAGAATATTTTTTATATTATTCATTTCGACATTTTTGAAGATTTTCAACTTCCACAAGAAGAAGGAAATTAAAATTTTAATGCACTTTATATACCGTGATGAGGTAGAGGGTGAAATAATAACAATTTACCTAGAAAGGGTTTTTGAAACTATAGACAGAGAAAAGCTCAGAAACTATTACGAAAAGCTCAAATAGAAACAGTTTTAGTCATCACTGAAATTTTCACACATACACAATTAGATTAAATACATGAGAAAACGTTTTGGACTAGTCAAAGAAACTAAAAAGCTAAACACAAATGTTTGATCTTGAACAAATTTAAAAAAGACTACATGTATAAAAGAAACTGTCATTCCTCATTACAGTTCTACTTTTATTGATCCCTATAAAAGTTATCAGACGAAGTTCCAGTACCAACTACCAGGGATATGTCAAAGATGTATTCAGAGCCAAGAACTCCCAACAACCCCCTAGCTCTGTGTTATTAGGCTAAAACGATTTACATTCATAATGTTTTAATAATATATTATTAAGATACACTTGTTTACTGAATTATTTTGGCTAAAATACCCATACAATCGGTGAAATCCTCAATGTGAGCAAAATACTCACGCGCGACAAACCACGTTTGACAGTAGGTAGCGACAAATGACGGGTTAAATGGAAACTCGCTAAACTATATTTGAATGTTCTGAAAACGAGAACTATTATTGTAACCTCACTTCATAGATATAATTAATTTATTCATGTATTTACTACAGTGTACAAATCCTCCATGACATACAATAATTGTTATTTTATGGCAATGCAAACTTCTGACTAAACAGTGTTACTGAACCGACCTTTTAAAAGTCAATAATTCAATTCACAAAGACCCAAAATATTTTTTAAATCATATTAATACTATAAGTAAAGACTATTCATACCCAACAGCATGTATCTTGAAGACATTAACAATGATAGAGGCTCTGATATTACAAACCTTTCTGCTACCTACTATTCAAATGTTTATTCAAGCAATATTATAAAATCTAACAACTGAAACTTCACTAATAGTGATATGAGCGGTGAGGGGATGATGACAGTCATATACTCAAATTCAAATAGCCCTGTAAAAAATATAGTCCAATTTTTATTCAAAGAATATATTTTATATTCATCTTTTCACTTTATTTATATATGATCCAAATATAAGTTTAGAATCTTTTTTAAATGAGTTACACTTTGAATATATTGTTATGAACTTGATTGATACTACTTTTCTATGTGTATATTGTGCTACACAACATCGAGCTTCGAGTAGTTTAAAATGAAGGAGTGAAGTTATCAAAATATGTTTCGTATGAAAGTTTTAGATATCAAAGCATAGGATTTTTTGTATGCTGATGGATTACTTTCTATATTCGATTTCCGTTAGAAAAGTACTTTTGAAAAGTAAGTACTTATCTATCGAACATTTCAGAAGTTATGCCTAAAATAATATAAAAAATTTGATCAATAATAACAAATTTGAAGTATCTGTATAAAAAATTTATTTTTTTCATTACCGAACAATAATTTGGCTATACCTAATCTTTTTTTCTTATACTTTCGTAACTCAAAAACAATTTATTCTTGATTCTTTTCAAATGAAACACTGGATTTTTCTTTCAATATGTGATTTCTCCATGAAAAACCTTTTTTGAAAAATATAGGGATGTATAGTTACATACCTAGCGGTTCAAAAATTATAATAAGGTGGAGCACCCTATACGACACGGTCCCTGTAAATCAAACAATTAATTCTTTCGGAATATGTATATTGGTTAAGGCTTCAGAAGGTAATTATTTTGGAGTCTACAGGGTGGATCAAAAAAGTGAAATATCGAAGTTGTTTTTTTAATGGAATACCCTGTATTTCGTTGCATTATATTTTCAAAACATCTTCATAACAAAACAGACCTAACTTATCTGTAAGCATAGCAAAGGGTGTGAACATTTCTAAACGTAATAGAATAGCTATAAAATAGCCAGTGTAATAGATTCATTTTTCAAAGCTATTTCTGGAATAACAATAGGTTATATATCAATAACTTATTGCACAACAAATAAGAGTTTCATTGAGTCATATTATCTGGGTAAATATAGAACATATTGTATTGGAAAAACTTTTTTTATTAAATATGACAAGGTTAGTAATTTGCCTTTGAATTGATACCAGCAACTGGTTACCATGAAAAGTATAATCGAGCCTAAGTTAGCTTGAATGATTGAAATTATACAAGCAAGTCGTGGCTGAAAACAAAATAAGTATTGGTTATCAAAATATATGGTAACATAATTTCTCCAGTGTCTCCTCAGTATTCATTAACATATTTTAACAAATTTGAAAAAATTTACATAATCACACTCTTTGTGACTTGAATTTTCCTAGCCAACCTCTTATACATGCCATTCCCCAGAGGAAAGTTGGTTATTTCTGTAACATGTTTTGCTGGTAACTTATCTGTAAGCATAGCAAAGGGTGTGAACATTTCTAAATGTAATAGAATAGCTATAAAATAGCCCTATATTAATATATATATCCTTTGAAACTTAGACAACTTTCAATTAGATATAGGTCTAATTGTGTCCCCAATTCTTTGTTGTGAATAAGGTGGTATGTCATTATTGAAATATCTGTTAAATCTTGGATTATCCATATATCTGGGATCAAAGCTTATATAAGAGTTATATATGGGTTGTGATTGTGGTTTACCATGACATAAAGTAATAATCATTTGATAAAATCCAAAGAATGCTTTCAATATAACATTCATGAAATTTATGATAATTGGAGTCATGACTCTGATCAGATTTGATAATTCTTTCATGAACTGTAGCAAATATTCCAACAAATACTTGGTAATATTTATTGCTCCAACTATAATTGTTCCAGAAAACAAAATTATGAAAATTGTACAATGTTTAACATTTTCAAAATTAATCTGATGAATTACTTCTGAAAAATTTGCTTTCAGATCATAGTTAACAAAATTGTTATCAACTGTGGAAGAGTTTTTCGAAAAACATTGGTTTTGAAATTGGCGAACTACTTCTAACTTCAAACGAATTTCATCTTTGAAAAATTCTACAGTCTTCACCCTATACCAGTATTTCCCAAAAACTTCCTTTGGTAAAACTACCCACAAACAGTAACCCACGGGAACACCAATAGTATTAGGTCCAGTTATACCAACCCATGGCTTTTTTAAGAATTCTTGGTTAATTTTTCTCAGTACAGACAGAAGATTCTCAATAAAATCAGTTTCTGCTTCAGATATATTGACAACATCCCGGTAGGATCCAAGTGATTCGACAAAACGCTTTTCTTTAAAAACACCAACAAAAAGTGAATTTCTCAACATTTGTTTGGCATAATTTTTAACATATTCAGGTCCTTTGTATTCATTTTTACTTATTCTGCAGAGCTCTGCTACTTTTGTCATGGCTGTTCATGAAATTACCAGCTTGTTCTCTTGTAGTTCCTGTAAAATAGGGCATATTTTGGGGATAATTTTTAATAACAAATTAGAATCAATCCATTCGTCTGATATCAATATTAAGAAAACTAATAAATACCTTCTTTATTCTATAACTTTGACCAATATAAATGAAATAACAATGACAGTCATACGTTATCAAAACCAGTGTTGCCAATGAGAAATCGTCAAAATACCCAAAATTGTTAATGAGATTACCCGATTTTTGCCAGGACACAACACTTTTCAAAAAGTCGGTGTTTTCAAAATTGCATTGTTTAAAGCAAGAAATATGTTGATTTGAAAGTCAAGCTAATCGTAGATTGACGACGAAATGTGCAATACTTTTGAAGACACAAAAAAATTATATTACACTGAATATGCACTGGTACTCTACTGCCAAAATAATTCGGTATGAAATGTAGGATAGTGGCAGTCAATAGTATTATAAAAATATTTTTTGAACCATTTCTTTAGTGGATGATATTCTAATAGGATGTGGTGGCCCGTTTTCATAATTTTTTGTTGGCAACCTTTTGTATCAACTATCAATGTTACTAAATATTGTTTCTATATTTTAAACCACAATAGTATTTATTGCACAAGGAACAGCAATTCAAAAGTTTTTTATTTAAGTTGGAGCCAACCACAGGTTAAAGTAGTGTGACAGTGAAAATGGCACCGACAGTTATGAATTTTTGATATAGTTCATGGTTGCCAACAAGGAAATATTAAAACTAAAGATAACTGCAAAATAAAATCACTTATCATTTTATACGAATTGACACACATTTTGTGCTGCCAAAAATGAAATATAACACCCAACCACCCCTGATCTTTATAGAATTTGAACAATGAAATTTATTTATTTTTATATTTTCCCTTATTAATCACTCTCACGAGTGTGTCCAGAATACAAAACAAATGTTAAAGGTTTTATGAAGGGTTTTTTTTGGGAAAGAGAATTTTTGTAGAAGTAGAAAGCCAAAAGTTTTCTTTCCCAAANATTACAACAAAGTGTTTTTGAAAGTCTCTCTGTTTCAGATTTAATTTTATGAATAAGTGGTTTTTCTGACTGGGATAACAAATTAAATTCAGTCAATAACCCCAGA